GCGGCGGCGGCGGCGGCGGGGGCAGCAGCAAGAAATCCAAAGAGCAGAAGGCGCTGCGGCTCAACATCAACGCTCGGGAGCGCCGGAGGATGCACGACCTGAACGACGCGCTGGACGAGCTGCGCGCGGTCATCCCCTACGCGCACAGCCCCTCGGTGCGGAAGCTCTCCAAGATCGCCACGCTGCTGCTCGCCAAGAACTACATCCTTATGCAAGCACAGGCCCTGGAGGAGATGCGGCGCCTCGTCGCCTACCTCAACCAGGGCCAGGCCATCTCCGCAGCCTCCCTGCCCAGCTCGGCGGCGGCGGCAGCCGCGGCCGCTGCCCTGCACCCCGCGCTCGGCGCCTACGAGCAGGCGGCAGGCTACCCGTTCAGCGCCGGGCTGCCCCCCGCCGCCTCCTGTCCGGAGAAGTGCGCCCTGTTCAACAGCGTCTCCTCCAGCCTCTGCAAACAGTGCACGGAGAAGCCTTAAACACACAAGACCGACCCAAAAGCTAGAGAAGAGCGAGAAGCTGCTCCCCACCCCTTTTATTTTGGTTCTCTAGGAGTTGTGAAGCACTTGCAGAGCAAACAAAAGCAGAGACAAGACTGAGAAGTATCAGAGACAAACGGGACTTTTAGCTTTGACATCCCCAGAATCTCTGTCTTTGGGTGGGGAGGGAGGGAGGAGGGAGGTGGAGTTGGGATGGAGTACGGATGTCTGTTTTTCTCAGAAAAGTGGCAACTTTGGTGGCGGCCTTGACGGCGGGGAACAAGCGGAGTTTTCCTTAAAGGTGAAAAAAAAAAAAAGTTGACAAGTAGTGCTTGAATATTAAGCTTGGAGAATACTGAATGGCAAAAACACTAATCCTACTAATAATTGTGAATTTGCTTAGTGCAGAACGGGAGCGAAGGAGCCCAGGGTTGGGAGGCAGGTGGGACGGAATATTCATTCAGACAAATCAGAAAGGGCACTTGAAAATAAATTTTGATTCTGAGCCAGGAGCTAACTTGAAATGTAGACTGATTTAAGTGCGGGGTGGGGGAGACACGTTGCTATGAAAGACTTGTATTTTTTATTGTCTCTGAACTTTAATCCTGTGAAAATGCTCAAAGTTTTGGCGAGAGTGATATGAAAAACTGTGGCTGAGAGAATTGCATTTAAAAATATTTATGTGCACCTTGTTATTTTCAACTCTGCAATGATGTATTAACAATTCATGATATTTATTTGTTATTCTTCAATGGCCCTTCCATATCAACAGTATTTATCATGTGTTAAGGTCGTGGGTCTTATGTGCAGATTTTTTTTAATGCCTCTAAAATTCTGTTTTATAGATTAACTTATACTGTGTGCCAAGTGTTTAAAGGTTTATTTGCCAACAATTATGAAGAGAAATATTGATGTATCTGAGCTGCTTAGGTTTATGAAAGGTCACCTGGATATTTTCAGTTGCATCATCCCTGTATTTAAATTGAGCTTTAATAAATTGCTTTAGTCCAAAAATTACAGGAAAGCTGTATTCTTAATTGATGAATTGATTGATCTCTTTTTTGAAAGGGGACTTATTTGCATTCCAAAAGGGAAAGAAAACATCACAGCAATAGCTCCTATATAAGTAAGAACAAGCTTAGCAAATATTTTTTCCAGGTTGTGCTGTGCATTTTAAAAAGGTCTAATTTAATTACTTTTAAAATATATGTACTATATAAGTTATTTTAACTGTGGAGAATTATTTAAGTTTAAAGACTGGTTTGATTTGCCTATGGTGTGAAATCCTTTGTTATTTTTCTAAAAAAATTTAAAAAGAAATAAAATAAAAGTAAAGGAGAACAAGAAGCTATTTACCCAAAGTGAGCTTTCACTTTTAGTTTGCATGGCTATTTGCCTGCCTTTCCATTCTATGAAAATCAAGAAAACTTTTTTTAAAAGGGGAGTCCTGCTATTTTCCACTCCTTGCAGATAATACGAATTCAGTTTGTCAGGTTGGGTGGTGAATTGGGAGTTCTGGTGGATCTGGTGGTGGGCTTTGGATGTGTAAAAGAATGAGATATATATATATATATATTAAATAGGTCAATCAGACAATGACAGCTATGTACGACCATTTGTATGTGTATCTATGTCAGAAAGAATCTTTATTAAAGTATTTTGATCAAACATTTTATTATGCTGTGCTTTGTGGAAGGAATAATCTCTTTTCTGTGTTATTCTTTGCTTGAAAGGAAACAAAAAGGAAGAAGTTACAGAGAAGGTGGAACTAAAGTGTTTCAGGGATACATAGCTAAGAGTAGTCTTCGTTCTTTACTTACTTGCTAAAAGGACAGTAGCAGAGCCTCACCATGGCAAGAATGACGAATGGGGTCAGGGACAGGACCCAGAAGAAGTCTAGAGCTCCTGGCCATTGGCATGGACCGAGAAGGCCCTACTGTCCCTGAAATTGTTTTCCACTTGCATGACATTGATACCCATTCAAGGGGCCACCAAAGTGGATAGAGTATCTTAAAGTCTTAAGCAAAGTTCTCACCTCCAAATGATTGAAGGCCGAGAAGAAAAGATGGATTTGGATTCTCTGAGCACTGATTTAATTAAATCATTTTTTGTGACAAAAGAATCAAGTGGGCTGAATTATACTATTGTAAATACTACCAGAGTTTGCCATAAGTGTTGCTTGTCATTGAAATTTTTAGGTACTTGAATTGGGTTGGGCATGGGTTTTACTAAAGAGTGGCATACACGCTTTTATTTGGACATTTATATCGCCCTCGATTGTCGAAGGTGTAATCTGTAGTGTAGAGGAAGTGGTAGAGATGGTGGTGACCACAGTTTTGATATAGTGGTAAAAAAGTTCCAGCTTTTCCTCTGTACCCAGTGTGCTAAATGCATTTTGTCTGTGTAGCCTCAGCTCATAAAGATATCCCTAAATGCCATCAAACTTGGTGGGGGGCAAGGGAGGATATTTTCTGCTCCACTTGCTATCAAAGAAGATTAATCAGAACCTGTAACTTTTCAGAAAACATAACTGCGCAGGGCCTTGAAGCTGGAGCCCTCCCAGTCTGGGAAAGGGGGTAGACAGAGGGAAGAGACCAGGGCAGCCCCCAGGCAGGAGGGGACCTGTCTCTCAGCATTTACCAGACAAAGCCTGGGTGCGTCTAATTATGATTATTAAAACAATTTCCATGACGATGTCTAATATTATGTTAATTTGAAAACAACTGTGTATGAAAACTGTCGACTATAATACCTAAATTCATTTAATGAAACACATCGTTAAGGCAATTAAACCTCCTGGATGTGATTAAGAAACATAATTACGACACTGTTCTGCGCCATAATTGGGTGTCTTTAATCAAGGGGTAAAGTGATCAGCAACACAGCCATTAGTTTGTATTGTTCTGGCCCTGCTGTCCATCATTCTGATTAGGAATTAACCACAGCCACCACCAGTTCTTTTTTTTCCTCTCTCTCTTTTGCATATTAACATTGTAGGGGACACATTTGCTGCAAGATTTACAGCTTAATATTTCTCATTGTTAAGAAGACCTCTCCAAAGTACTTCCTCTACAACCACTGTGCTGCTCAGTTATTATTAGAAATGGAAAAGAATAACAAATTTTGAACTTCAGGAAAAAAAAAAATAGCCTCCTCTCACCCTTGAATCAATAGGCCTCCAGGTCTTAATCCTGAGGGGATGGAAACAGGTGAGAGTGGGGACAGACGATAAACTGAAATGCCGGATGAATGTTGCACTATGAAATGTAGCAGGGTTAGTGATATTTACTTTCATTTTAATAATTTCAGACAAGTCAGCCTTCTTTCCAGATCCAAGAGTTAGTCATCCTATGGTTGTAGGAAATACCTGGGACAGCTGAAAGAGCAGAGAAGAGATCCTTGGGTCTACCTAAGTGGCCCTCTCTGCCCTAAGCCCAGCCTTTCCAAAGTTCTTCAACAGCAGTTTTTGGAGCAAGAAACCAGTGGTTCAAAAGACAACTCTTTCCCCTTCTTGACAAGCTACCCCTGCCCAGGGCCACTTTTTTTCTGAGGTCCCGCCTAGTCCAAGAGAGTTGGCCCAAACACAAATGGCCCCAGATGTCCGTCCTGCATGGAGCACCCAAGTAAGAGTGGGTGACTGAGCACTTGGGGGCTCAGTGTACAGTTGCTCAAGTGCCCTTGGCCTCACCAAACAGACCAGAGCCCTAACACAGCAAATAGAGAGACTAGCCAGAAGCCTCACTGCATCTTGGGGAACTTTGGGGAATTGCTCAGGGGTTCACCCCTTAAGGCAGATCTGCTCAGGTTGCTCAGGGGACTGCGACTTAGGAGTTCCATTTGGCCTTTTAGCTCCTCTTTGATCTTTTCTTCAATTTGACTCTGGCTTTAACAGAAGCTTTCAGCTTTTCATTTACTACTACAGCACCACTAAATGATCGCCTTCAAACCCTCCGCTATCCCTCCCTCCCTCTCTTGAGGGTGAGCTCTTGGCTATGCAACTGCATAACTCCTCCAAGCCCCTGCATTGCACTGACATCTTTCTCCCCCCAACTACTCATCCTCACAGCCTGCTGCTGCCAAGGAGGACAGAGGCTCCCCGAGTTCCCCTTTCCATTCACTTTTCATCTCTGAAGCCAAACCGGACCATTTCTGCGCGACCCCAGCCCTAAGAGTGCTCCAGCATGAGTGGCATTGACTTTTCCAATGTAATGACTTATGGAAGATATAATCATGTGTTAAATTGAGTCCTCCGTTTAACCGGTAATGGTGTGCTCTGGGCACATTTACGTATTAGATGCTATGGTAACTAATTACCACTAGGAAAAGGGATAATACACTTCCTAGACTTTGAAAAATAATGATGAGAGTTCACTTCCCGGCTCGCAGCACACTGTGGCGGTTTTGCCTGGCGGAGCGAGTGGAGATCGGAGAGTGCTCCTGAAAGCGCGAGGTAATGAGTCCTTGTCGGAGAGGTTCCCTGGTCAAACCTTTCATGCAAATGTGATTCTTGGAAGTGAGTGTGTGTGTGTGTGTGTGTGTGTGTGTGTGTGTGGTGTCGACTACCTATCTGAGCGTCGATACAAAATTAAATTGCAAAATCTAAACATGAGAAACATAAATAAGTTTTATATTAATTAAAATGCAGGCCATACTAAATTATTCACGTGCCAAGCAACTTTACATCAATTAACATTTTTTGTTGTGTTGGCAAAATAACTGAGCCTGTGTCTGGTGTGCTCTGCTTTGGCATTTATAACTCGAATGCCCCTGGATTTGCCAAGCCAATGAGCTGCAGGTTGATTTAAACTCAGCCTTTTAAATCAAACATTAGGCACAGTAGGTGGGAAATTAGCAACTTCAGTTTAAAAGTAGAAACAACTTTCAGGGCGAGAGCCACCCCCCTCAACAGAGCTCTGGCTCTTGTGATCCACTGATGTGGTGACCAGAACAGGGATCTAGGCAGGGTGCATGGGGTCTGCTACTGACCCCAGTCCTGGGCAAGTACAGAGCTGCAGGAGGGAAGGGAAGGCCTTTCAGCAGGCTGGCCAGCCCGAGGCTGCAGACAAATGAAAGGCTTAATGCAGACAAATGAAAGACGTCCACAGCAAGCTTGCCCACCTCGCTGGTCTCACTCTCCGCCTGAGATACTGGCAGCACAGAGCTCCTCTTCTCCCCGGACTTCCCTTGGATAGGCTCCTCAGGCCCTGCCTGCCAGCGCTATTCCCTTTAATCTCCTAGTTTCTCCGACAGAAAACAAACTTGAGGGACTCCACCTTGAACTTTCTTTTCAGGAAGTCCTTAGCATTTTGCCCTTCTGCACCACCCTGCAGGGGCGTGCGGGTGGGGTCACACCGCCGGGCTCCTAGGCAGCACTCCGACAAGCCCAGGAATTGTGAAAAAGTACCCCAATTTAAACCCCAAAGAACTCTTTCTCATTTTGGCAGGGGAACATTTTGCTTGCATTTCTAGAGGTTTGATTTAAAATCCACCAGTTTTCTTCAATTACTAATCTTAATGTGATCCAGGAGGCTTTTCTGACTTGATGCAAAACAACCAGAGGGGAGACAGAGAGAGAGAGAGAGATTTGACTGCAAAAGGAAAGAGCATTTTGCAGTTAGCATCTTGCCCCCACCAACAGATGGGGGATAAGCCCATGTTACAAGACACCAGGATGCTCTGATGAGGGTGCTGGCTTTAATCATGCACAGTGTGATATCCTTCTCCTCCAGTTTGAGAAAGAGTTAAATTCTTTCCCAAAGACCATAGTTGCCCTTGTCTTCTCAACCTGATTCAGAGATGCAATAAAATATGAAGCAAATTTATGACCTGTTTCAAGCATTTTATTGCTGTATTTTTAAATTCATATATGCACATATAAGAACTATGATCTGTGAATAATTTGAAATGCTATAGTAGAATGATACATTTTAGATAAAACATAACCATATCTTTATATAATTGTCTCAGATTAAAATAAAAAAGAAAAATAGATTTCTAATGTGGGCCAAACTGAAAAGCTAATGACAGCCATAAACTGCTAACCAACCATAAATTAACATCTTCATCAAATGTTAAAATGCTATCAGTGCTTATATAAAGCAATTATTATTTCTCCTTATAAGTTTAAAAATAAAGTTCAGGGATATTTAAAGGATCTATTATTTACAAATGTTTCTCAGTGTGAAAGATTGTCTATTTTGCTAGAACGATGTTCACAACTAAAGTCTGCTATGTTGATAGAGGTGTTTAGAGAGGAGAATTTAGATTTAAACATAAAAATGTTGCATGGGCTAACCTCCTTTTATATATTTTGCTCTGGGAGACAGGGATTTCTCTGTTAAATATCCTTATATACCTCTGAAAAGAGAAGACAAATAATATCTTATTATGGGAAAGTTTGAGATTATATACCTACCTGGTTATAACATTAAATCACGCGTTGCCTGTACAGCTACGTTTGCCATGTACAGTCTCTAGCCAGTATTTTAGTCAAACTTCATATTGCAGTCACCTTTCATGTGAGATTTCTACGAAAGGAAATGTTCTTCACCAGGCCTTTACAGAAACAGAAAGCACCAGGAAAGAGGAAAGAATATCCATCTATTAAATGACTGATGTATCAAGAATTGGGGCCAGTTACTACCTGGGTCTTTATATCTTATTTCATT